AACTTTACCGAAATATCGTATTTCGTATTCCCAGTTAATGCCAAAAGTGATCGATTTGTGATCACTTACACCCAGCTCTTCAGCACTCTCCAGATTATTTACGAGTGTTTCCTTATTTGGCAAGACTAAGTTGAGCAAATTATTACCCCTGGTAGGCTCTGTTACACACCGCTTCAGAAAACAGTCCTGAACTACTTCTGTAAAGTCACTGGGCTCCAGATTACTGGTCAAAGAAGTCCAGTCAATTTGACTAAAGTTAAAATCCCCTACTATCACTATGTTATTGTGTCTATATTTGCCCAACTCAATTTTCAATTCTACCCAAGCAATAAGCTTTGATTATTCTATTTACTCATGTGCAAGTCCCACTCAAATCCAACCACTCTCACTCATGTATTTATCCAACCTAAATTTAAAACTACCCAAGGTTCTAGCCTCAATAACCCTACTAGGCAGACTGTTCCACTCATCAACTACCCTATTTCCAAACCAATACTTTCCTATATCCTTTCTAAATCTAAATTTGTCTGATTTGAATCCATTATTGGGGGTTTTCTCTCATGGAGAGATATCCCCAAGACCTTATTTATATCCCCTTTATTAATACCCATCTTCCACTTATACACTTCAATCATGTTTTCCCCTCATTCTTCATCTTAAAAAACAGAAGATTTCTAATGCAATGAATTAATTTTATCATTCACGCTGAATGTTTTCTAACAAATTTTAGAAGCAGTATTTTATTATATTCCCCTAACCCTCATGAATGTTGAGGGAGACCTGTACTTCATCCTCAAAATTTGAGCTCTCTCAAGCTCACATTTGTTCAAAAATGGTTTTTAAATACTTGGTGTATAATAAATTTGAAATTGAAATACTTCTGTAATTATGATCATCAGGAACGTATAACGCTGAGCACCCAACCATACAAGCATTCTGGCAGGTTCTCCGAGGATTTGATGAAACTCAAAAACGACAACTTCTCAAATTTGTTACCAGTTGTTCTCATCCTCCTCTTCTGGGGTTTAAGGTAAGGTGTAATATAAATGATAATTTTTTTTATCAGGGTTTCACTATATTCCTGTCTTCAAAAATTTCAAAATATTTCATGACTAATTTCCTAACCCTTAACCCTTTGAGGGTCCGTCCCATAGTTCTACGCCATGAGCTCAGCTCACTCAGATAAGCTGTGAGCGGTAAATTTGGGCCTAGATATGAGCGAATGCATCTATGTGGTAAGTGTGCACCATATAAAACAAATCCTGCAGCATGCAGGGGCAGCTTGTTCTAATAATCATGTATCCTTGATAATGTATGTTCTTTACTAGAGCAAGCAGATAAAAGTTTTCTTAGTTTTTAATTATACATTTATTTAATGAAAAGTGTTTAGTACAGTAATTCTGTTATCCAGTCTCCATGGGACCACAAAAACCTGTATTTGCACTCAGTGGGGCACTGCTAACCTCTAGTATATAGAATTTTACCTATTTGGATGAATCCTATTAAGCCTGTGTGGTTAGAACACTTGCCTGATAGTTTTTAGGACTGGCTTTCAATGAGTTTGAGTCTCACCTATTACAATAGTGTTATTAGTGGCAAAGTCGTCCAGTTGTCTTCTACAATAGTGGATTTGGTCCGCTGATGCAGAAGACACTAATAATATGAGTATTGTAACCAGTAGTACCACACTGCTTTTTCATTCAGAACTCAAGGAGGGTAAGTAATGAAAACTAACACTTGATTAACATTGATCAGTGGTTCCCCTATTACAAGACACACTGAAGGCAAATTTTTAGGGCTTTACCTTGACTGCAACCTTAACCCTTTGACTGTCGCGGCCGTATATATACGTTTTACTAGGTGCCGTGTTTGACGTATATATACTCATAAATTCTAGCGGCTTCAAATCAAGCAGGAGAAAGCTGGTAGGCCCACATGTGAGAGAATGGGTCTGTGTGGTCAGTGTGCACCATATAAAAAAAATCCTGGAGCACGCAGTGCATAATGAGAAAAAAAAAACTCCGACCGTTTTTTTTTTAATTAAAATGCCGACTTTGTGGTCTATTTTCATATAGTATTTATGGTTGTATTCTCGTTTTTCTTGGTCTCATTTGATAGAATGGAAAACATATTACAGAAATAGAGGTGTTTTTGATTGATTTTACTATAAAAAGAACCTAGAAATGGAGCTCAAAGTAGGGGAAATGTTTGATTTTTTGCCAATGTTCAAAAGTAAACAAATGATGCCATTGTCCAAAAATGTCCAACTAGCCATTCTAATATGCAGTCATGAATGGGTTGATGTTATTTATACAGTTATTACAGCATTGCAGTAGTCTGCATAATAGTAAAGTCTAAATTTTTTTGTTTGAATAAAAATTCAAAATATGAAATCAAGAGTAATATCAGAGGGGCCTGGAGACGTGACTGATGAACAAAGAAAATGTTATTTTAGAGCCTGGAATGTCTGCATTGTTCATTCTGGACCTTATTTTGAAATTGTCATATTTTTTAGTTTTTCGTGAAATTGGCCAAATTGCAAAAATTTCTGACCACATTATTAGGTAGTTGAAAAACAGTAAATGGGTAGTTTCTTGTACTCAATCGATAGAAAAAATGAAGTTCTAAAGAAATAGCTATGAGTTTGGGCGACTGGAACAATGGAATTAGCCGAAATAGGGCTAAAAGTGGGCGAAATCGCCGATTTGTAAACAGCGCCGAGGTCGCTAACTTCGCGAGAGCATAATTTCCCCGTCAGTTTTCCATCAAATTTTCGTTTTTTTTTGGTGCATTACAATCGGGAAAAGATTCTCTAATCATTTCATAAGAAATTTTTTTTTTTTTTTTTTTAAATTTTGCGACACCAGGAGACACCTCAGGATTGGGGGTTGCGACAGTCAAAGGGTTAAATTTCAGACCCCACATCCTACATATAGCCAAGAAGGTCTCCAGAACAGCAGGCATCCTTTCCAAAATACAGTACTATCTACCCCCAGTGGTACTACTTACACTATACCACTCTCTAATCTACCCTTACCTCACGTATGGTATTTGTCCTTGGGGGTCTACTACAACCAATCACCTTAAACCATTAATAACCCAGCAAAAAGCTGCTGTGCAGATGATCACCAGCTTCTGTGCCAAACAACACACCGCTTTGCTCTTCAAGAGTTTGAACTTAACCCATTCAGGGCCCAGAACCCCAATCTGAAACTTGTCCATGGGTTTTAAGAATATAATTTTTTTTTTTCTTATGATATGGTAAAGAATCTTTTTCTGAAGGTAATAAAACAAAAAATATGAAAGTTGATGAAAAATTGACGAAATTACGCTCTTGCAAATTTTGCTGCATCAGCGATATTTATGCATCGGCAATTTTGCCCACTTTGACTCCCATTTTAGGCCAGTTACATAATTCCAGTCGTACAAGAATGGTATACAATACCGACAAGATGAAACTAATACACATATGCAACATCTGGGTATCTTTATTGTAGACGTTTCGCCATCCAGTGGCTTTATCAATACAAATTCCAGGACATAACTTGAAGACAGTAGAACTATATACAGAAAATGAGGTAATCAGTCCCTCAACCTTGGAGTTGGTGTGAAGAGCACCATAGTCGTGTAGATTCTGAAGCAGAAGCAAGAAACCTGGCGCTTTTATACTAATGTCAGGTGGAAACGGGATGTGTAGCAGACGAGGGTATAGTCACTGGTAGGCGGGATTCCCCAGTGGAAGTAGGTCCTACCCAAAGAGATGGGTTAGTTGTAGTAGTAGTTGTCGAAGTCGTGAAAGTTATGTACATGTCCTCAGAATCAAGACTCCATGATGTTGCAGTGTCTGACAAGTTGTACAAGAATGGTATACAATACCGACAAGATGAAACTAAGACAACTTATGCAACATATGTTTGATATGTGTCTTAGTTTCATCTTGTCGGTGTTGTATGTTGCATATGTGTCCTGGTTTCATCTTGTCGGTATTGTATACCATTCTTGTACAACTTGTCAGACACTGCAACATCATGGAGTCTTGATTCTGAGGACATGTTCATAACCTTCACGACTTTGACAACTACTACTACAACTAACCCATCTCTTTGGGTAGGACCTACTTCCACTGGGGAATCCCGCCTACCAGTGGCTATGCCCTCGTCTGCTACATGTCCCGTTTCCACCTGATGTTAGTTATAAAAAGCGCCAGGCTTCTTGCTTCTGCTTCGAAATCTACACGACTACGGTGCTCTTTGCACCAACCCCAAGGTTGAGGGACTGATTACCTTATTTTCTGTATATAGTTCTACTGTCTTCAAGTTATGTCCTGGAATTTGTATTAATAAAGCCACTGGATGGCAAAACGTTTACAATAAAAATACCCAGATGTTGCATATGTGTCTTAGTTTCATAATTCCAGTCGACCAAATTCTTAGCTATTTTGTTAGTTTTACTTCTGTTTTATCAATTGAGCACAAGAAAATTACCCAGTCAACTGTTTTCAACTACCCAATAAAGTGATAGGAAATTGGTAATTTGGCCAATTTCACACAAATTTCAAAATATTCCAATTTCAAAATAGGGTCCAGAATAAACAATGCAGGCATTCCTGGCACTAAAATTACATTTCCTCTGTTTATTAGTTATGTTTCCAGACTTTACAAGTGAGTTCCATTAAATTTTTTTTATTCACATAATGAATTTTTATTCACACCAAAAAAATAGAAGATTTACTGTATCAGTATTGCAGTAATTGTATAAATAATATCAGTGCATTTGTGAATGGACATTAGATCCACCAGCTGATGTGTATTGGATGTGTGACATCAATCTGTTTACCCTTGAACATTGGCAGAAATCGAACATTTCTCCTATTTTGAGCTCAGTTTTAAGCCATTTTCAATACTAAAACCAATGAAAATTATCACTATTTTTGTAATATATCTTACATTCTATAAATGAGACCAAGAAACCTTGAATTCATTTGTAAAAAACATACGATAAAACACCGCAAAGTCACTGTTTTAATCCAAAAATTACAGTCGCAGTTTTTTTCTCATGTGCTGCATGCGGGCAGGATTTGTTTTATTGGTGCACACGTATCATATAGATGTATTCTATTATAACTAGGCCCAAATTTACTGCTCACAGCTTATCTGAGTGAGCTGCACTCATGGCATAGAACTATGACTTGAACCCAGGCTTCAAAGCTGTAGAACTACGGGACAAACCCTCAAAGGGTTAATGTACAAAATATGCATTCATACTGCTGTGCCTATTTATATGTGTAGAACATGAAACTCCAATATAAACCTCCTCTCGAAGTTCTTGATAGCTACAACAGAACACACAGGCACAATACAAAGCACAAAACTCTTTGACATCCCTCGTGTCCATCTTGCCCTGTACAAAAATGCAATTCACATAAAGGGCCCTAAGATCTGGAATTCATTGCCCCTAACCACCAAAAGGTCACCTGTCTGCCAATCAGTTTAGGGCTATAATAAAAATCACCCCATCTCTCAGACTTAATATCAACTCTACTGTGTCTGAATCGTAGAAACAGTCTGAAAACTTTTCAGGAAATCCCAATTAATTTAAGAACACTGAATCAATTTAAAGTATCAATACACACTTAAAACTGTACTACAGTAGAAACCCCCAAAGCCATGGCTTAGGTTTCTGTGGTTTAAGTTATCTGCGGTTTGCCGTGGCTCGAAAATAAGCCTCAGTATTGCTTAATAATGACACCGAAGCACTAAAGTAGTGGTGATGGCAGTTCTTCAAAGACTAGGGGAAGCCTTGAAGTGTTTCCCATCAGTGAAAAGTGATAATTCTTGACTTACTGTGTGTAATTTGTGAAACTTTGTCATAGGTATGTATGTAAAACAAAAAAAAGAGATGTATATATAGAGTTTACTACTATCCACGGTTTCAGGTATCCATGGTAAGTCTTGGAACATATTCCCAGCATATACAGGGATACTACTGTATTGTACTATTGTAAATTGTATTAACCCTTTGAAGGTCGCC